CTATGAATTACAGCTTGGTGCAACTATCCAGATGAAGCATTTCTGAGGCATTTCTAATCAATTGCTGAAAAAATTATCTATATTTCTGACCAAAAAAAAAAGGAAAAATTACTTACATTACCAACATAGATCGACCTGCTGTCTGCCTCGATCTTATCCTCAATAGAAACACCGCCGGCTGCGCCGCCACTGCCCTGCGAAGCATTGGTACTGGTACTTATATTCATCTGTCTTTCAACGTCCGTTTGTATCTTACGTATTTTCAGTACCTCTTCTTCAAACTGCTTCACACGATTCGCCAGTGCTTCCATATCCTGAAAAAAAAACCCCTTCTACCAACAGATTCACTATCAATTCCGTCCTATCTAGTAGAAAAAAAGGTCGAAACTACACGGGCTATCACTGTTAGTGACGCTACTTAGATGCGTGAGCCGTACGCCGTGCACAGCTATGCCAAGCCCTTTGTTCCAAAGCTGCATATACCTGCGTTAGTACCCATCGCCTGTTCGATGTATGTATTGCCATCTCTGGTCGCCCGAGTGGTCGTTTACTTTCTCGTGGATATCACTCTCCAATACGTGTCAAACCACCGGCTGTGCAAGACTACAGAGGATGGAGAAAAAACAACAAATCGGAGGCGCATGGAAACGATTTGCAAAAAGCTTTTACGAAGATCTATTTGCGTCTTCCGTCAATGTCCAGAGTCCTAACATTTCCAAAAGCCTTCTCTATACCCGTTATCATTCCCAGCGAGGTCGAAGTCGCGATTCGCTCCAAGAAGAGGAATGCCGAAGAACGAACTAAAAGTCGGAGGTGAAACGACAAAAAAAATGCCTTAAATATTTTATTTCATAAAATAGCCTTTTCGGTGAGGTATCTCATAGAAATTCACGAGTGGTCATCTACAAGGGAAGGGGGAGACATTCTACGAATAATCGATACATAAAAGAAAATAATCGAAACAGCTAAAGCCTTGCCAAGTGCTTTTCTGACGAGAACTAATGAGCTGCTGATTCCTCTAGGAGACAGGAAACGGATGTCAGGACAATTAGCTGACCACCAGGCGAT